TGGCAGGACGCACTGATTGTAGACCCTGCTTTTTAGGCATTGTGGTAATGGCGACGAGAAGATATGACGCAGATTTCCAAATGCTACCCAGCCCAGTTGCACTCTTCTAGCGATTTCACGCTCAAAGTTGTCTCAACCTAACTCTAATGTCTGCCAGTAGTAAACATACTCTTGGACAACTTCGAGCGCTTCGCCGTCCCCCTGCCAGGTGGACCGATTAACTGAGAAATGTCGCTGGTAGTGGCTGGATCAGGAAAGCTGAAGATCGTACTCTGTGGCGTGCCGTGGGGGAGGCCTATGTCCAGCAGTGGACCGCAAAAGGTTGATTGGATTTGATTGGATTGGATCCAATTAATAGGCATATTACGGCTGTGTGAAAACACAATTAATCATAATTAAAAAAATCTATTTACGTGATCCTGTTATTTAAAACCTGTGTGATGACAAAATTAATAACATATTAAATTGTAACAAATAGATTACATAGAAATTGTAACACTGATTCGTATACATTCAAATGTGTCTTAAATTATTGTAAAATATGGTTGCGATACTTTTTTTTTTGTGTAAAAGTGTAACAATCTTTTTTGGATAAATTAATATTATTATAAGTTAAGAAAAAATATGTTTTTATATAAAAATAAATTGCTGGGCGTTTGTTAGCCTAAATTGGGCATCCTCCTTTAAGAATTAAAATTTTGAAGTTTCAACGATTAAATGTTATAACAACGTTTCAAGGATTAAAGATTAATTATAATTAATGGAAATTGTTAATAAAGAAAAATGTTACTATAAAAAAATGTTGATGAGCTTGCTGCTGAGTACGGTGCCACTGTCTTGGGATTGCCTCTTTACTACTGCGAAGTAAATCTTATAGAATTAGTAAGGGCCGAATCGTTAAATTTCTTTCTCACTCTGACTCGTTCAATAAGCATGTCGAGTGTCGACTTCGAATTGTTAGTAGTTGTAGCGAATTGCCGCGACGCCAACATGCGGTCTTCACCGATCTAGAGGCGAAATGGAATGGCGCGAATCGTTATGCTCCTTTCTCATTCTGACTCGTTCGGTAAACATCTCGCTAGCTCGCTCAACACAGAGTCGAATTCGAATCGTTAGTAGTAGCGGATTGTCGCAATGCCGATGTGAGGTCGCAGTGCCATCCCAATCTCCAGACGACTCCAACTGGAACCGCCTCAGGTCAACTCATAAGAACGTCAGACTGATTACATTTTTGTCGTTCGTTTATTTCATCGTTCTTACATTTTTTTACACACACTATGTAAATAAAAGACGACTTCAAACGTCAGGTCGATTTAATCAAACTACGGTTTTATGATAAATTGACAGCCCACCCAGGCGTGACCAGATTTAGTAGATTTCTACTTTTTTGGTAGATTTTGAGGTACTGGCAACAGAATTTAGTATGTAAAAATTATTTGGTGTATTTTAGTAGAATTCAGGCTTTCCAGTTTAGTTATGACACATTTTTTTTAATATTTGAAATGAGCATTTATTGTAGATATGTATTTATGATATTGTAATAAAATAAAAAAAAGCACAGTAACAGTATGTGAGCTATATCTCAGCTAATATTATTTATTTTACGGCTGGTGATATGCCTTAAAACAGCCCTCAACGCAAAGATTAATGTCGCGCTCCTGGCATTTCCAAATTTTTCATTATTGTTCCAGGGTTACTTTCAACATCGGTGTGGCCTGCTTCTTCTTTGAAATCCAAAAGCCTTAACGACTTTCTTTGAATAAACTGAAATATTAAGCGTAGTTACGATTAGTACGTAAAATGAAAAAGATAATTAAGCTTGTTCATCTCACACTCTCACATGTCTTCGCAATATCATTCTCACGTCTTGATAACTTGCAGTAAATATTAGTATTATTACGATTAGGAGGATGACGTCTTAAAAATCAAATATCCGTCTTGACAGCTTGGAATGACGTATGTGATTTTATTTTTAAACATTAGTGCATGGTGAAAGAAGGTTCGTATTTGGCATAGATTTCAGACCTAGAAAAAGATAAAACAAAAATACCCTATAATAAAATAAATAAAACGAATGTACCACACCAAATAAAAAAACGCGATAATACGAAAATACCCTCATATTCACTGTTTGTATGTAACCTTATTTTGATACTTTTTCGTGACGTTCGTGTCACGTCATCAGCCCATACAATAAACCTGCGGAAGACAATTTTAAAAACGTAAAATAATAATTGTTTGCGTAACAATCCTTTCGTTTTGAGTGTTTTTAAATGCTAATAATGAACTGTTTTTACAATTACTAGGAATATTTTACTACAATATATAATATATAAGACAATTTTAATTATGAAAACCGGCACGATTTTTAAGGGTTCATTTTATCACCCGAAATAATATTCTTTTAGACTTTGGATTCATATAATTTGATGTAATCATGAAAGAAATATTCATGAAGATTATTTCAATGTATAATACTAATACACTGCGTTTATAAATAAATCAATACTTACATTGTAAATGCGGACCCCACAACCACTTGAAATAACTTCGAACAGTTTTTGTAAACAATTTTTTTTGAGGGTAGCTGTCGCCGTTTATTGTGTTCTACCCACCAAAAGACGCGTTTTTTAATCAGGAACCATCTTTTTTAGCGATATTGAACCACTACGACAATTCTATGAAGAAAATTACTTTTAAAGTTAACAAAGTGGTTGGGCTGCCATAGTCGCCCTAACGTTTGACGCTATGTTTAAATTTGGGCTGCCGTAGTCGCCCTAACGTTTCAGCGGATCTAGTACTTTTTTGGCTTATCGGATAAATGCGGGGTATTCCCCCTGTCATAGAATGGATTGTTACTATTTAATTTTCATTCTTTTGGTCGTTTGATTCGTGCCGTGAGCATAGAGTGTGATAGGAATTCCTAGTGGGAATTCCTTTATTGAGAATTTTTATAATAGAGTTTAAAATGAAACTAAAATATACCCAAGGATATCGCGATGAGTGGGAGCAATATTCCTCATTTAAAATTTGGTTATGTAAATCTAAGGTAAACACTACGAGTGCTCATTGTAAAGCATGCAACTGTGAATTACTAAGTTATTAGTATTACTTTACTCCAATTACTCCATATTTCATTATATAATATATAACATAGATAGGACATATTATGTCTTATCTATGCTTTATGAGTTAGACCATCAATCAGCCATGTAATTATAAATTGTATTTATGTACCTATAAAAATGTATAATTCTAAACAAGTATACAAATAATTGATTAATGCTTTGTATAGTAAATATATCTTTATATGTTTAAAACGTACCGTATAAAGCTGATGTTTGCAAGTTGCAAAAACATATAACATTAAATAATACTAATTAAAAGGTAAGTTATCGGTACATGAAGTATGCATGTATAAGGTTAATTTTGTTATAATATCGAAATGAATTGCATTTTCATTTCATTCGCATTACTTAATCCATTTACAATAATTTGCTTATATAAAAAAATGTTTTCAGGATAAGCAGCCTACAGGATGAAAAAGTAATCGAAATGTTTAATACATAACTTAAAGTATTTTTACTTCTAAAAGTAATTTTTGAATTAGTGCTCCGTGCTGTATTGATTACCATAGAAGATGCTGATAAAGGTTAATTTCATAAAAAATAGGGGACTTAAAAGGCTTTTAGAGCATAGTCTTTATCTTGCAATTATTTTAATTTTAGTTCCAGGATTTCTTTATTTTGAACTATGTATAGTTTTGCCTGCAGTAGTTGAAGAATGGACTTTACCTTATTTTGTTCATTACTTTAGTGCAGCGTTTTTGTTAAGCAATATTATTGGAAACATGATTTATGGGATGTTTACTGATACAAGTTTCAGGGGGCAATTTTCTCACTTGGCCCAAAAAGATTGGACTCTGTGTACTGCATGTGAGTTTTTGAGACCACCCCGTGCATGGCATTGTAATATGTGTAATGTATGTATTCTAAAAAGGGACCATCATTGTACATTTTTTGCTTGCTGTATTGGATATTATAATCACAGATATTTCATGTTATTTACTTTAGATATTTTTGTAGCTATGATATATGCATTTTATTACAATGTAAAATTTGTAGCACAATTCATATCATGGAACAATGGCCTTATTATTATTAAATTTATATTTCCATTAGCTAGTTTTGTAATAGATTTTAGCCAAGAAAGTATATACATATTTTTGATACTCATAAATTTTGTGGTAGGTTTGTTTACAGGATTTTTATTTATCTATCATTTTAACAATATTTTAAAAGGTAAAATAACTCCCGAAAATAAAAATAATTTACCGTCCAAATATGACAAAGGTTGGAAATCTAATCTAATTGAGGTTTTGGGTTCAAGATGGTATATAACATGGATATCACCATTTATTTATAGCCCTCTACCAGGAAATGGTTTGATGTGGGATGTTAAGGATAAATCTATATAAAAAAGATATTTTATTTTTCTCTTAATTGATATTAAATTCACCTGGGTCAGATTCCACAAAAAATAATTGTGTTTTGTATTGAAAATAAAACTGGCAATGCATTTTTTAGTCCTCCTGTGTAGAAATGTTGTCAATGGTAGTAGCATGTGGTACAGCGTCTACTGTTGCATGAATGGGCAGGCTCATCCAGGTAAGTACCACTGCCTCACAGTAGATCCCCATGAAGTGGAAGTATTTAACTTTTGTGTTTCGTCTGAAGAATGAGGTAACTGGGCCTCACTTTTCTAACGTTGTTGATATACATGGGCAAGCCGCCATGGCTGGCGGCATTCACTCAACACCTAGTGAAGCATCTGCTCTCTTCACACAAAAATACTTGTTTGCCTTTTTTCCATTTCATGTTTTAGAAGGAAATAAAAATCATCTTAATATAATTTTTATGTATTAAAAAAATTACAATATGTTCTTATTAATAATTAAACATTTTATTTACAATTGACTTGGTAAAGGTCATTTTTAATTATTGTCGTTCTGGAATGTTAGTATTAGGCAAAAGTTGTGTTATATATCTACTGCGTATCCTGTCAGACTGGGATTGTGCGAGATCACGTTGTTGTTGAGGATCATCTTGGATTGTACTTGTTTGGGCTCTTGAGTCTATAATATCTTGGTCAGAACTATCTTCATGATCTAACAGGTTAGCAGTTTCGTCATTGTTTTCAGACCTGTAACATCAATTTTATTTATTAAAAAAATATTTTACTATTATAAGTGTACCTTAGATTGTAACTTACTTTTTCGTCAAAGAATCTCGTTCACTTGGAGACATGTTAAGTAAACCATCATCAGTTGAATCCACAATATATATGAGAACTGCAGCAATGAGTGATACTGAAATAAAATTAAGTAATAAAATAAATGTTTACTGTTTTTCCGAAATTATCTTTGGGAAGAAAATCTTACTGAATAGGCATCCCAAGAAAAACATTTCCAGCATCAAATATCCGTAATGGTCAACAATTACTCCAGCCAATATTAGAACAGTAGCTAGACCCAAGTTTTGGACAGCCTGACATCTAAAACATTAAACATTTTATATTGCATATTTATATATCTTTGTATAAAAAATTAATGGAAAGTAAACTTAATATTATATGATTAATGCCTGCAACTAATGCAAGATCTCAGACCTGATCATGCAACCAGTTGCCAGTCAAACTACATTTGTACAACTCTTAATTAATATATGACAATGGTGGTGGGCCTGTCAATGGGTTCGGAGAATTTTTATAAAAGAAACCTGGATAACAAAAACTGCCCCTCCACGGGGATGTAAGTTCGCAACCGTAAATCGCGAGTCCACGGCCATGACATAGGATTTTTTCTTAAGTCATTATAAATCGCTAAAAGTAAAAATCGTATATAACATTGCACGCACTGTATGATCATCCACCAGTTGAAAAAAGTAAGTAATAAAAAAAACAGCTCATGTAATCAACACTAAATATAACATAGGGATAGAAAGCATTTTCATTCATGCATTTTTCAAGATTTTGCCGGGCACTATAAAGGTTACAGAACTTACATTCCATATGCGGTACCCAACTGGTTTTCGGCGACTATTAATGCAACTAGGGGCCATAATCCGCTTGCTAGCAAAGAATATGAAATGCCCAGAGTTATCTGAAAGCATAGCTTTTTAGTTATAACATTATTATCACATAAATCGAAAAATATGTCATGGATAAATATTCTTACCACTCCTAAATATGGATTGAAAAATGTAAATGCCAATAAAAAGTGAGCACTTATAGTGGTAACTGTGCTTATTATCACCCACATAACGTTACGACCCGTTTTGTCTATGAGGATACCAAAAAACGGACTTAGTGCTGCTGACAGTAAATATACCATTGAATTCACCGTGTTGGCATCTTGCGGTAAGAAATCAAATTTACGCTCGAAGAATAGTCTGCAAAGTTAGCGAAAATTATTTTTTTATGGTTTTTCTTAAATATTTGGGATCATTTAAATGATATATATCATATTTCCTTCTTTTTACTTTTAAAGATTTTAAAGATCTTTTAGTCCAATCCACTGAAGCATCTATTTCTGCTGATTTTTGTACTTACTTTCCTAATGCAATGAATGGAAATATAGCCAAATAGTATGCAACACATATCACAGAGAGTAGCCAAAACACTGGTTTGAAATGCACAATGTCCAAAAGTTTAAATGGTTCTTCATTAGTCTGTTCCTCATGCCTTCCTAAGATTTTCTCAGCTCTGTGATCCATCCATCCAAGTAAAAGGCCACATATAAGAGATCCCACACAAGTAAATGATGCTAAAAATTTTAGTAATTATGATTTCACATATATCATCAAAAATATTTAAAAACTATTTAACTATAAATTACCAATAAACAAAGTGACTCCGAGGCGTTCATAACCGCTGTAATAATTTGCAACCCATCTGTAAATTGGTTCCATTACCCAAAAGTTTACAGTACTTCCAAATCTGGAGAAAGATAACTGAAGACCAAATACCATGTTTAGTTCCTTTCCTTTAAACCATAAAACTACATAGCTGTTAACTGCCACTTGCAATGACTCTCCTCCAATTCTGTAAAATAATAACATGTTGCATGACCAAATCATTCTGATCAATACTAGTATTGTTTTAATTACAGTCAATTTTGGTTTAATGTAATAGTAGGTTGTTATTACAAAAATATATTAAATAGGATGAATAAATCTCTTACCCAAATATAAATCTTCCTAGAATCATGAGCCAATATGCATTGACATAAACTCCTGTAGCAAATATAATTGCTCCAATTGTAACAATTACCATATATATGATGGTTCCTAATCTTATTCCAAAGTATCTGAAAATTTTGTTCAATATAAAAACAAATATTTAACACATTTGGCAGCACTCATAGAATCCATATTCTTGTAGCAGCTTCTGTTTTTGCATTGAGCTAACCATGCGTATAACAAGCAAACATTAAGCCAACCATACATATAACATATAAGTCATATTCATATTATCATATTCTTGATAATGGAATACATCCTTGATTGTGAAATTAATGTGCTTAATTAACATTTCTTTGGGTGGCAGTAATTTTTAAGGAAATCAATAAAAGAATACATTTGTCATAACAATGTAAAAATAAGGGTAAATATTTATCAATTGTATATAAATAATTTTTGTTCTAATAGACTGGAGCAAATATATTACTATTAAATTATTAAGTAAATAAGGTCAACAAAATATACACAAGCCCTCACTTATCTCAACAAACATGATATTGTATGTAACAATATAGTCTTATCAGCTATACTCAATAGTACATCATATACTGACTCACCTATCAATCAAATATCCTCCAATGAAACATAATATAACATTTGGCCATGAGTAAATAGAATATAATAAAGCAAATTGGGATGTGTTTAAACGTGAATCACTTTTGAAGTTATCAGCTAAAGCACCGGGTGTATCATAGCAAAAATAGGAACCTGAAAATTATTTTTAAGGATTCATTTATGTTATAACTTGCATATTGTGACAGAAAATCTCATCAGAGCAGATGATAATCTTTAGTATTGAACTTTCTTATTATTTTCGATAATTATGTATTTTTATTAAAAAAGAACTGTTTGTGCGCAAGTTCAACTTGCACTTAGCCAGTTTTTTTCTATTATTCAATTAGCCACAAATCAGGTGTTACTTAATTTCATGAAAACATATCTTTTTAATAACTGTCACTCTAGGCCAACTCTTATGTTTTTGTTTTATAAATAATGATTCAAATAATGTTAGGTATGAATAAAGAAAAATTAAGTTAAATAAGGAAGTGATTGTAATTTAATCATGATTATAACACCTTATAAATATGAATAAATTTCATCTTTAATGCTTTTACCAACCATGCTAATATTGCCACTTACCATTGATCTTCATAGCAGTAAAATGCTTTACTATTTTATGATATACAATTATACACAGTTGGTAAACACCAACTGCGTATAATTAACAACAAAAGAACAGTATAATTAAAAAAACAACATATTTAAAAATATATTCATGTACATTAGGCAAGAAATTAAATCGCATAATTATATATCATTACACATATAAAAGACAAATAGTGACGATGATGATATAAAAAGGAGGGTGTGGTGGAAATATGTTGAACGAATAAATTTATATTGAAAACCCTTACCAAAACAAAGAAAACACATTAATATTAGTGCCAAAAATCTATGAATTTTGTTTGCCGGATGACACCATGAATCTGTTGATAGTTGGCTTGGCCTCAAATCACGATTAAGAGGAGTTTCCATTTTTTCTTCTAATAATAGTATTGTAAATCACTATATATATTTTATTTCTTCACTGATATGATTGATTATGATTTTATTGTGTATTACAAGAAACAAAATACAGCTTTGTTTGAACACTCTATAAACGTTATCTTTACGTCTCATATGTTTTAAATGCAGAACAAGCACAATAATTCAGTCTACATTGTTATTGGTTGTATTTATTTCAAGTCTATCGCTTAGTTCTGTTTCACAGCTTAAATAATAAAAGTTGACTTCTACAGCGTAGGTAATTTGTCAAAGTTGACATATTACATTGACAATGACATGAGTCATTTATTGCCCCTTTTTTTTTTACTCGGTCTTCGAAGACAAAACTGATACTATGTGTGCCAGTTTTTTTTTGCAATTCTTTAATAGTGATTGCCAATATCAGAAAGCACTGTGCGATTTTCCTTTCAGCACGGATTTGACTTAACTTATTACTGAAATAAAAAAAAAATATGTTACGTCTACGTACAAGTTTTTACTATGGTACGACCATGCAACAGTCTTCCTTCACAGTTGTACAAATGGTCAGGTCCGTTCGGGAAGTACCGCGACCTCACAGACCGGCGTGAAGTGGCTGTGGCTGAGTGAGCCGGGCACACTTTATTTTAAACGCGTGGTGGCAACGCATCTGCAATCCCGCGGGTGTTGAAAAAGTATATGGGAGGCGGTGTTCACTCAACAGCAGTTTAACCGCCAGCTTCTTTGCTACCTTCTGATATAAAAAAAAAAATAAATAAAAATAATGATAAAACAAGATAAATACTCTTCAGAGGTCTCGGCACCACCTCGTCCTCTTGCACGACCACACCCGCTATTTCTTCGACGGTTCTTTCACTAAAACTAATGTTTACACCAGTATATATGTCTTATCTATGGTTTACACCCCACAATTTAATTTAATGAAACGAATTTAATTTTTCAAAGGGGGAACGCTGCCAGTCTTCTCTTCCATTCTCTTGGAATCTTCGGAACCTTGCCTAAAGGGACTCCTTCTGATAATATATTTTAGTTATTATATTATTTTTTTAAGATTTTTAGGTATAGGCTACAGTTATATTTAATGAATATTTGATCGTTTAGTAATCCGCACAAATCTTTATTATATTAGTAACTATGGTACCCGCGGATGTTGTCATGGTATCCGCCGCTGTTGTCAAAGTCCATTGACAACAGCAGGCACCTAGTCATAGAGAATGTAATCACTACGTTTACCACCCAGTACCTATTGAACACAATAGCTTAAGCTTGATTCTTATCGAAAACACTTGAATTTATATAAAAAAAAAACAATATTGATATACTAATTATGAACTATTCTTTCATTTTCACACGGTTTTGGGTCATAATTTATCACATTGCTTTGTATTTGGCATATCAACAAGACCTAGTACAACATTTTTATTATCAACAATTACTTCACATGTAAGGCAATTACAGTGAAATAAATTTCTAAATTTTTTATGGCATTCTGCGTGAAATTGTGGCCAGTTAAATTTATTTCGTTGAATAATTTCCTAAAGACCTCGATCGTCTATATCTAGAACGTATCTATGAAACTATTTTTATAAAGAAAATGCGCTCGTCGATGATATACGGAATTTATTTACTTTCTCGCGTAGGTACCATGGTTCCCTAGTGGTGATGTACATAATGTTATACGATGACTTTCTCAGTGTTATAGCCGAAAGAGTGAAATGTCATGGAATAGGCCGCGCGTAAGAATAAGGGAGAGGTCTACGAGGTGGCCGGGCTTGTTCTACTAGGAATTAATTTATGCCAATATATTATTTTCTTATCCCTATAAGTTTGAGGGCCAATTGGTCAATATAAGTTACTGAATACGGATACTGTGGCCAATATGGATAATACCTCTATAAATGATAACCAAAAACACCAATGGATGGCGCTGCAATCAATAAATACGGAAAGAGTAAAATTATCAAAAACAATTAACGTCCGTGTTTTGGGGAATGTTTGCTAGGATGACAGGGTAGGCAAAGCTTGCTTGTATGAAGGGACGTGCCTGGGTCGGTAAAGGTCGCGCTGGCAGCGATCCCAAGAGAAAAACAAGCACCAGAGGAAGTTCTGCCCACCTTGTTGACTGAAGTAGAAAATTTAATCAGCTCGCTCACTCATTCACTTAGAAGCGGACCCAAATGACGAGGAAAGTCTCACGCCCAATCATTTCCTCATCGGTTGATCCTGTGGCTCTGCGGTCATCCGCGACTTCGACGTCTCGAAACTCCGATCCGCAGGTCGGCGATGTAGTTTTAATCGCCGAACCGAGAACCCCCAAGAACGACGTTATTTTATTTAAAACTAATTTAACGTTAAAGTAACTAACTAATAACTAATTTAACGTTCCCAACGTTAAGAAATAAAATACTATAAAAAAGAGAAAAAAACGGTTTATAATAAAAAAAAAAAACATTACACACTGGAAGAAATGTAATTTATTTCTTTTTTGTCTCTTACAGAGTTTTTTTCGGGATTCATTTTATGCGTGGAATGGAGACGAGTAATTCTTGTGTAGTGTAATTGTTGTTACTGGAAAATTGTAAACCGTGAGTAGGTTTCTCGTAGAATTTTACTAATTATTCTGATCATTAAGAAGATTATTCTGATCAATTCAGAGAGTTTAACAATCCTTTTGACAAATCAAGTAACATTTGAAAAGCCATTTGACATCTGATTTGTTAATTTCTATGTTGAACAGTCTTTCAGAAACCGGGCGTTAGAGTTTTAACTGCAAATTAGATCGACGCGATGATTAAAAGCGAGCGCCTGCTGCATTGTTTAAAAACTTAACCAACTATTTGGGGTTTAAACAGCTGTCAAGATACGAAATTTTAATGTGCCGTGACCATGAACGCTGGAAAGGGTTCGAAACGTCGGGAATTACGAAATGAAAATTAAAAGACGATATAATCCCTAAACTAGTTTCATTTAATATATAACTCAGTGTCCGGGCTCGCCTTTAATTCAATATACTCGACCAACATGAGTTCGATCCTCGGTGCCGGCACCAATGAAATTGTTAATTTTAAGTGCCGAATTATCACGTGCTGCATATTTTCGAAATAATAACAAAAAATATTTCTATATTTGAAGGTCGCCAATCCGCAGTTGGGCCGCGTGGTGGACTATGCCCTGAAACCTGATATCCTCTGTACAGAGGAGGCCTTTGTCCAGCAGTGGGACATGTATAGGCTGCTACTACTTTACTTTTAGAATATCGACCGCATAGTTTAATTGATAATGCGTTTATGCGTGTTACCCAGACGACGCCATCTGTACGATCCCCGCAGCGCCGAATGTGTTTGTTATTTACAGTTATTAACTTTTTATGGATCAGTTATTATCATAATTGACGTAGGTTTAACCTGTAGGTTGGAGCTAACGTTTCGCAGCTGAAGCGGTAAAAGGACCTAAAACCTAGTTTTCCATTGAGTCGAGTATTGTGAAATCGCAAATGTCGGAATGTGGACATTGTTGCCTCGAAGTAATCTTCTTAGGCCTACTAAGAAGGCAATAAGGTGCTTAAGGTAATAAGGTGCTGATTTCTGATGAAACCAGGATAGTTCTATGTAACATGGAAAAGAAAGACGTCGACGAGTGCTACCAAAACGAAGAGAACATTTTGAAGAGGAATATTGTGAAGAAGTCGCGGCTGGAGACTCTGTTATATTTTGAACAGGAAAGTTTTTTGATCTCGAATTATTTTTCAGAATTTTGTTAGATCACATGTAGAAAGTCTTCATCGAAAATGGAACATCGATTAGACATCAATATCGGGAGATCTTATTCTTTAACCGGAATCGCATTGGTGGCTTTTAGGGAAAACACAATTTACATCGATGATAATGCTCGCTCGATATGTGAAAGCGTATATAGGCCACTTAAGAATCCGTCGTTAGTAATGGCAAGCTCGAATCCAGCTTTTCCTGTGTTAGGGCCACGCGACAGTCTACGCTGTTGCACGTTGTTAGTGGAAGTATTATACTTCTGCGTTTCGTCTGGTGAGTGAGGTAGCCGGGGACCACTTTATTAAAAGATGGCAACGCATCTGTAACCCTACGGGTATTCATATTATAATTGATTTTCAAGAGTGCCTTAAGTATCTCCGGAGTCGAATTGAGAACCTCCTCCTTTTGAAGTCGGTTAAAAACCTCAATTTCACAATATGTCTAGGACGTTCTGAAGGCACGAGTAAAAGGAGTGCAGTCGGCTGTGCAGATCATCATAGAGAAAAAGAATTACTGCAAACTGGGATGTCATTCCCTAAAAACTACAACAGTAGATATAATCGCTAGCATGTCCAGACAAATGTTAGTCGTGACTTAAATATTTAGAAAGAATTCCTTAATTAACTTCCACTTCTTAATGTTTTTTTATGAAATAACTTAGCCGGCAAGTACAATAGCGTCTTGAACTATAACGTTATTTCTTGTAAAAAAATTCATATGATAACTGATGAAAACTGTGAATACTTGCTAGATTTTAATCAGAATAAAATCTGCGAGGCCTCGTTGCTTCCCCGGATAAGCCCGCCCATTAGGGCAACAGCAAAATGAGTTTGACACCAACTCTTCAACATAATCTTAGCTACTTTGTTCGAATTGTGTCAAAATGATCCATTTGCAAAAACATCCCGCGATGTTCCTAGTACTATGCAAGGGATGGATGGGAAAAGAAATTCGACGGAAAAGGGTTTCAATAACATTTTAAGTATTGGAGGGTAATATTGACTATACTGGTCTACTATTGGTTGACATAACACGGTCCAACCGAAAAACACATAACATTTTTTCTTAACTTCGGTACTTAATGAAGTGCATGGATCAACATCATATATTTTTGAACCGTAGTTTCTGGCTGGGACTCCCACATGCCTCTGCCACCCTATATCCGTTGGCAGGAGATTCATAAAGAATTTTTACCACGTGCAAGAATATGTAAAAATGCAAATATCTATTGGCGGCGGTTATTACTTAACATCAGGTAAACCGCTAACGCGCTTACCACCGCACATTAAAAAAAATCATAATTCGATTAAGATTCTCCCTAGCAAACTGAAGCCGCGCCTGATGTGTCGATTTCGCACCGAAGTTGAGACGGTAAAACTGTACGCTATTTCTCGTTGGTGGCTGGTCATTGGCGTATATGGGGCCGGGTGGGCCATGCCCACCCCAGTATCGTCTAGTGCCCACCCCAGGAATTCGGGTTATCCATTCGAAATACAAAAACACACGCAGTCTGCTGCACATCACCAAACTAAGAAAAAGCATTATACACGTTTACATCAAGAATCAAATTTCTATGAGTAAATCGTCAGCCAACATGAAAAGGTAGTTGACCAAAATAAAGAAAATCTACTAACAATAATAGACATCAGTACTATATCTAGTATGTCAAGGATTGCCTTTGGGAGTCACTGTGAAAAATCAGGACCAAAAAATTAGGGAAACTTTTTAAAAATGTTTTAATTTTTCGCTAAATACGATGAAAAATTTTCCAGCCATTTAGAAAAACAAGTAACCTATTGCAGTGCTGATATATAAAACGATTTAATCAACATCATCTGGTTCATTATCACAATAGAAGGGAATATCGTAAATTAAAAAAAAATATTTCAGGACACATTTTTACACAACTTTTCTAGTCCCAATCTAAGCAAAGCTAGTACTATGGGTACTAGATAACTTATAAACATACTTATTTTTCTTTTGTAAATAAATACATATTATAAATATATAAACACCCAGACACTGGAAAAAGACGATGTTTATCACACAATATTTTTCCTATCCACACCCTCTGGCGCAAGAGGCAGGGTACTACTACCCACTACGCCAATCGGGTCGTCAAAATAAAATTATATAATGTAGATGAAGCAAGATGTTATAAAGAAGAAAAAATGTCGATAGTTTTGAGACGTAGCAGGATTAGAAGTTGAACACTTGTGTCACCAATAAATAAGTTTTTTTAATAATCTAGAAGCACTATATATCCATTTTTTACACCCTAATAATCATGCCCAATTCAAGATAATCGAAGATTTTCTTGGTATATAAGGTGGTCATGAAGTTCGCAATATAATTACTACAAAATGTAGCTATGGTTACGAAAACTATTAAGCCGTCATGAATAGCTATGCTGCCCTTAGAACAGCACGGGAAGGAGGCATTTATCAAAATAAAGACAAACATGTGGTGGCATAGGTTTGGCCGTAGGTTTAATGACTACATTCGCCGTGCCGCTATTGTCGCCACTGCGGGAGTGGATCAGGTGGTGGGACGCATTTGGCAACTAGGGCTAGAGGTGGCGCTGAATAAATCCGAGGCTCTATGTTTTTATGGGCCTCAGCACGGGCCACCTGCGGATGCTCACATTATTGTGTGTGGGGTCCGTGTCGACGTAACATCTACGATGAAGTACCTCGGCCTAGTTCTAGATCGCCGGATCTAGAGCCCGGAATGGGATTTCCGGGCCCACTTCGAGCGTCTGGCTCCCAAAGTGGTGAAAAGCGTTCTTAACGTCAAAAATTGGAATAAAAATTTAAACTAAGTTTATCCTTAGAGTAATTTAATTGGCTAAAATTAGTATTCAGTTTTTACTTTTCAACCGAGGCTTCATTTCTTTTTAAGTAGGTACTGCATACATAACGTGTATAACAAATAGTATACACGTTATATAATATCTCAAATCATAGTAAGTATTAATCAGGTTATTTTCTACAACAGTCTATCTACAATAAGTTAATATATGTTATTAGTACATTTAATTATACAGATTTGATTATTTTAATAAGTTGAATAATAATGATTTTACTGTGAATAGGATTAGGAACACCATTGAAATTATTAAGAATCACAAAGAGCGTAAAAGATGCCATCTGTTAATAATCTGTGATATATGTCTATGTTTATATTGTAGAATAATGTTTTGGTACATTAATTGGAATAACAATATTTCACCATAGTCAATACGAATTTATGAAGTAAGGTAAAGCCGGCATAAATAGCGCCATTTATAATATACAAGGTGGACTATGATCTTATACGCCTTCTGATCTTAATTTTTAAACTTTAAAATATTAAGATTGATTTATGTACTAAAATTTAATGTTTAGAAAATAACTCCATGGAAAAAAGAAGTTTCAGTAACTTAGAGGATGGTGCTAAAATAATTTATCAGGTTGATTTAAAATCTGATATAGTGATAATAAAAGACACGTGTTCAAATAAATAACCTTTTTAAAATCTTACCCCTACATATCTCCAACATATATATCTCTATTCTTTAAGATTTACAATTATGCTTTCATTTTATTATTTATCAAAGCATAATTCTTTTACCGAATGCGACGGTATGAAAACGTAAGGTAGCTTTCGAAAATTGGCGTTGCGACGAGCCGCCGTGGAAATCGTAGAGCCTAGGCAGCGTAGCGAGAGTACGCAATGCGCAGGGCGGGCGGGGCGCGGCGGGCGGCACGCGGCCGCCAGTGCTCTTCGCGCAGGACCGGAGTGGCGTTCACTCGGCGGCGCGCCACGGCGCGACATGCCCAGCTGATGTTTATTTATACCGCGAGCTCGGCGGAGGGCGCGCGCGGGAGGCCCTCCCCACCGCGGCACCACGGTTTCGCGTGATGCAGCCGAGCGAGCCAGCCGACACCGCGCACGCCGCCAGCGGAAACCCCCCGCAGCGGGGCCTCAACGGTGGCCGTTTCGACTTCGACGATGGTGGCACGTATTGCGGCGGCTGGGAGGACGGCAAAGCCCATGGCCACGGTGTGTGCACCGGGCCGAAGGGACAGGGTGCCTACGCCGGCTCCTGGCACTTCGGATTCGAAGTATCCGGCGTCTACACCTGGCCCAGGTGAGAGAGTGTCTTATCCCGGGCGTTGCACATGCCCGAAACCCGCGTCCGAAGCGGCTCCAAAAATAGTCCGCTATTAATAATTGAGTTCGGTGTTTCGCTAGAAAACGCGAGTAACGGCGGTGAAAGTGCCTATGGTCCATTCGCTGCGAAAATATTCGTATCGATCTGTGGGTACTGATAACGCGGTGATAACAAAATTTTGCGCTTAGGTGTCGCGATCTCGACGTCAATTGACCTGTTGTCATTGTTATGGACAGATCCATTAAGGTTTTAATAATGTGACGTGGAGTAAAACGCGAACGTATAAATTGTAATTGGGGACATTATATTGCAGCTGTCCAATCTTTAGTCACGAGAGACGACATGTGACTATTAAGTTCATCTAATACTATGGTATTTAACCTTACCCAGCACCAATGAGACGATTTATATAAGCTTCAGGAATGAACATTATTTAAATACTATATTTTAATCCTAATTACATCTAACGTTTTCAAAATATATTAGATACGTAAGGTTAACTTTGATATAGTACAGAATTAAAAATAATTTCAATGTCTTTTTTATGTCTTATAATTACCAAAAAGGTATTTGATAATTACTTATAATTTACCCAAGCACATAATTGTTATTAATAAGAAAGATTTATTACAACTGCATCAAGTTGTTTTATGTGATTAAATAGTTTAAAGTGCAATATGGGGCCTCTTAGGCGTTTACTTCTAAATAACCCAATTTCATAGGGTCATTGCTCTATCTAAACGAGAAGCACGCCGACACTGATTTTTGGCGGATCTCTTAAAAAAGGTATTTCGAACAATGGTACAATATTTTTTCTGATCGCAGGTTTTTAAATAATATAGAAAGTGGTAAAATAAAATGCGTATTGCCTATTATATTTCGTTGGCAATTTGCATTATATTGGATATAACTTTTTTCATGTAATCATATATTATATATATAAATAGTATATAACAACTATATAGATTAATTAACAAATATGATTCCTTATTAACATTTGAGTGTAGATAAATTAAAATTACACTTATACTTATTGTTTTATATATAGATTTTTTTAATATGAAATGGTCTTAATATTAACATGATAATAGACGGCGTGGCGCCGGTAAGCTATTGGCTTTGGCGTCGGTGGTCGTAGGTTCGATTCCCGAACGGGACAAGTGCTTGTGTGACGCACAGATAATTATTCCCGATCTCGTGTTTATTTCCCAAGGAGAGTGGATATCAGGCGGCTGGTTGTAAAAATCGTAGTCAAAACCGCTTACAACATGATTAACATGTTATGCCGACCCCACTTAGGTGGGATAAGCGCAGGAGGATGATGATACAGCTCGACGTGGCCTTTGCTGCTGCAAGATGGCGAGGGAATCGGGGAAAGTTTACCATTCTCCGAAGCGTGCTCACGCCCAGTACCGAGGGACACCGGTGCGTTCCATAGGAGATCCCGGAGTCCCTGCAACCGTACAGAATGTGGACACCGAGGGGGATTTAGTTTTAGTTTCAGTGTGGGAAAGAACCCCACATAACCCCGAAAAAAAAAGGAGGATAATGATGATATTTGTACCTGATAATAGACAATGTAAAATAATGCTGTTGATAAAAAATAATTATGCTGTTATTTCATGCTATGATGGCTTCAAGTGTTGGCGACAAAAGTTCATAATTATTTAAAGTCGCATCTACAAAAGATTTTAATTTTCTTTTTTATAACATGGAAAAATAAGGAAAGTAAAAATCGGGTGCCAGTAAACATAAAATAATTGACATCTGATATCATATCTTTTGAAAAGTCTTTGGTTAGTTGCGAATATGACATAAGAGGATTCAAAACTTTAGTAAAGATTAGTTAATAATATACTGCAAAACAAAAGGTACGACCATGTGCTCATACATCTACACTTGATTAAAAATTAAAAATAAAACTTATAGGTAACCTATTAACCGTGCCAAAAAGTCAAGGAGGAAATTGGAAACAGTTCAAAATTCACGTTTAATATGAAGCTGCTTTTTAGCCCGAAACAGTGCAATTAGTAAAAAAATAAATTTTGACTAGCTTTTACAGAATTCTATCTTAAGTTCATATAATGTGTCAACAAACAATGTCGCCAAATTTATGAAAAATTTATGAGCGATTTTTAAGCCATTTTTTCAACAGATTTCAACGTAATTACTAATAAAGAAACGAAATATTTCTTGCCTTTTCATAGATGATGCTCAGAATAGTTATTGATAGGTACTATAATTTATGATGTTATTATATATAATATTTTGTACAAAAATTTTAATATTGAATATATCTTATCCTTTACTCGTTACAAGAAGATATATACGATATATATATATATATATATATATATATAAGGAAACGGCTCCAGCGATTTTCATGAAATTAAGATATGGGCGTAGATTCGGGGGCGAAAAATCGATCTAGCTAGGTTTCATTTTTATAAAATATCCTTTTATCCCTGTTTTCAGCGAATGAACAATATCATTGGAATATGACGGTAAATTTCGCCGCAAAAAAAAATGTTATAATAGCTCGGTCGTTAATCGGGCGGCCCCAAAACAGACGGCCGTAGTTCGTGTCACGATCATTTACACACTCTTTTTTTACTCTTTTTCCGATTCCAGATCATTGCTTTCTTTATTTTTTATTTTTGATCCAGATGATTTTCTTATTTTTTCCCTTTTTTTTAAAGTTGTTTCTTTCGTGAAAAACACCACTTCATATTTTCTTATTATTAGGTCGGTAAGATCGAAAAATATTATGCATATTTCATTACTCAGTAATTTGTATCTAAATATAATTTCCAAAATATACGATTTACAAAAAAAAACAAACCGAGCAAAGCTCAGTCCTCCAGGTACTGTCTATTATAAGACGAGGAAAAGCCACATTATGAAGAAAAATCACGTTTACAAATTACAATTTTTTTATTACGTACCATTACGTACCTAATAGGTATTTTAATGAGTAAGCAATCAAAGTATCCGAAAGAGAGAGAAAAGTTTTTATTAACATAATGTAAACGTTAAGGATTAGTTTTTATTTTTAGTGGTAATTATTAACTAATATTTTTAGTTTTTAGTTGTAAATAATTGAACAAAAACTTTTGGTGCTGCGGGATTCAAACCTGCGTCTCCTGATTGTTAAATCTTAACGGTTACTATCACCATAACTGTCAGGGTCGCGCCCATTATAGTGCGTTCGTTCTCGGTCTAGTAAAATATTCTTAAATAAGAAACAATGAATGCATTCATGCTATCATTCACAGCCATGGTCCGGTCCAATCACAATCCAGGCAACGATCCTTTACAAAGGGTATCTGACTGAGCGAGGTCGAACTTAGCATGGCATGCATCTATAGGATGAATGCTCTTCCGTTTCCGGTTGAGTCAGCTATAATCGGAAAAGCGAGGAAGGTGTGTCCTAGGAAATTGCTCAGCAATAGAATAAAAATATATACCTAAATAAATTTTCGAGTTTTAAAATAATATTTAAGTAATTAATACACATATAATAAACAATAATTATTATTTTCAATCAAAATTATTGTTTGTAAGTTTTTTAATATAATTAATGATGAAAATATTATGTTTATTACTTGGGGATATTCAATTGTTTTCTCGTCTGGCTGGGTTTATAAATAAAAAATAAACACATAGATATAAATATACAATATTTATATCTATGTGTTTATTTATAATACATAAATAAATAGGACCCGACCAGACGGAAGCCCTCTGCAGGGGAGACCAAACGGCCGAGGGTTAGGGTGAAAGGGAGAGAAACCGGCGGACGATGCGGGCGGTATCGAGGAACACCACCTTCTGCATTAGAGCTTGGAGCGTACCGTCCCGGAGTCCCAGTCGCCTCAGATGTCCGGAGAGGCTGACTGGGATCAACCCACTCGCAGACACGACTATCGGGATAATTTCGGTCGGCACACCACCCCACATGTCGGTCACCTCGTGAGTCAGGTCCAGATACTTCGTCTTCTTATCTGTTTCGGCTTTCACGAGGTTTGTTATTATTGAACTGTGTATGTTTATGAACTATGTTTATTTATTATTGAAAGTAATAATTATTGTTTATTTTTTCATAATAACAATAAAATGAATAATAATTATTTTTATTGTTATACTGTATACTGTATACTTTATAAGTGCAAAGCACTATAAAGTGTAGAATTTTGAGTAAGGTAAGTATAAAAATTATTTTTAAGTAAATTAAAACCTATAAATACAAGTGCCACTGTTAGGCAAAGGCCTTCTCTATACAAAGGGTATTTGGACATAGTAATGGCACACATGGACTGGCATGGACTATAATGGTTTAAAATAGTAAAACAATACAGTCAAGTAGCAATATTTGGATTATTTGAGTTGTTACTCTCCTTCACTTGTGAAAAGAAACATTAATAAATTTACTTAATTATATGAAAAACTGGAAAAAAACAAGCTACGACAACTCTAGAGTTTGCTTTAACTTACTATATACTCAAGCACACTGAACTTAAAACCTGTAGCCGTCACCAATGAAATTGTTAATAGCAACTTTAAGTACTTACTTACTTGATAATAGAAGCATCGTGAGGAAACCTGTTCATTTTCGAAATAGTAGCAAAAAATACTACGAGGATGTAAGTTATCGTCGCGTGGTTGACTACGCCCGAATACAGTATACGCCCAGTATACGCCGTACGCCGTACGCCGGCGTATACTGTATATATACAGTATACGCCGAATAAGCGCAGTAGAGGGCTAAATATAGGGTGTTACTTTAAATGTTCTTTTAAAACAAAACATTATCTCAATATTACTGATGAGCTTTTTAGTATCAAATTAACGCCCAAAAATCCCAAGATTCCATATCAATGAAATTAACATAGGACTGCGTGGGAAACACCAGTTTTTAAATAAAAAAAGAATCATCGAAATCGGTTCACTCAGTCGAAACTAAACATTAAACAAAA